TACCTTTTGATCTGTTTTGAATGTGTAAATCAAGTGATTTTAGATTTATTGAAAGCGCATTTGTCCAATAAAACTACTGGTTCTGAACTAACCATATCGAATATCAAAATTATAACTTTCTAGTGAGTTTTTGAGTTTTTTGAAGCATGGAAATAATCGATATGTAAATGAGTAGTAACGTATTTGAACTAATAACAGCCCCTTTCCTTACACCAGCTACAACCTCATGTAACGCTAGAAATGACCTCGAGGTTTGTGGTACTCTTCCTGATCCGACATATCAGATGTAAATTTGTTACTAAGTAATTTAAAAACTTGTGGTATTTGTACGAACTAATGATTGCCCGCTGATCACTAATTCCAAATATAAAACGTTCGTTTGTGTTCGTCTAGTTCTACCTTCTTAGTTAGAACATTAGTTCGAATACTTCTAATTATCATAAAACTGATCAATTTGCTTCTGGTTCTTCGATATGACAGTGGAAATAGGTTTAGTTTAACCATTCAAGCATTATGCGGGAGCTTTGTTATTTCGGGAATCAGCTTGTTTGTTGTTCCTTAAGCCCTATCCAACAGCTCACTATTTCCTTAGGCAGAGGTTAGCTGCTTCTATGCAGCACTCAAGTTTAGGGTGCACGAATACTGCATACAAAGTCAAACATATTTTTGTATCGACATGGCTGAAGGCCCTACGTATTGACCATAGGGTTAAAAACCTTTGGCGGCTATCGCACGGCAGTGCGCAGTAGTTCTTAAGTATTGGTTAATGATGATTCTTAGGTCACTGTGTTTCTGGACAACATGTAGCTCAATGTTGTTCGTCGTGTATGTATCTACAGTGGCACCGAACCCCAATCACACAACTTTTGAAGCCGAGCATATAATTACCGAAAGGATTTATATTTAACAGTCAGCACGAAGAGACGGTTGCTGTGACGACGGACCACGGGTGGACTCGAGAATTCTATGTGTAGCCTCCTGATTGGTCAATGCTAATAATCCAATGTACGCGGATTGGTGGACTGTAATGATGATTTCGTTCTTCCTAAAACCTATAAATACCTGACAAGTTTGTACTATAATTGACACTGTTTGGAATAGTATTTCTTTCATTAGTCTTCTGTCTTCTTACTGCGACTTGGAAGGGTTTTGGTGTTCTAGTGCTCTGTTATACGCAGTACATCAAGAAACCAACCTTTAAGACATAACAGTTGCCAATGGAGAACGCGGGAACATTCAATTCATTTCAATCGAATGGCATGGCTAGTCCTTGAAAACGTGGTCATTCTGTATGTCCTGTCTTTATTCGCTTTCAATACATTACTCTATCTTTGGCCTAAATGTGTTCTTCAGAAGTACCAAGTATCATATCGCTAATTATCACGATACGATAAGTCAGTGCTGACAATGACCAGACTTCCACATAAGATCTTATTGATTAGGTAGTCAAATCATGACAAATTTACCATTTTAGGATTAGGTTTATTATTAGAGCAGTACTAATATTGAACTTAGATCATAATTCTGCATATCTGTACCTTGATGACCAATATGCATCATAATGCACTTGGAATAATTTATCAACGACTGCCAAATTTTATACCATTCAGATAGTTTCTTCAGGTCATTTTGAAGCATTGAGCTACCACCCCTACTTTTGATCGCTCTTCATATCTTGACCTCGCCAACATATGATAAAACCGATGGTAATAGGAGAGGAGGAGGGTAATTTACACGCAGTAGGAACAACCATAAGTTGCCTTTACTTTCAATATTTCTTAGCTTGCATAACAGCCGGATGTGAGGAACTTTGTCAAGAGCATTGCAGAAGTCAATGTAAAGTGTATCTACAAGTAATTATGGTTTTTAAGAGCCCGTCAACTTTCACAAGCCACTAATAAGTTAATGAGACAGGAATAACATATTCTAAAGCCATGTTGCTTTTCAGAAGGAATCCGGTCTTAATCGAGATACGTAAACAGCTCCTTCCGAATAATTTTTTTTGGAGTTTTGACAACAACGATGGTGAGGCTAACAGATCGGTAGTTCTCAGGTTTATGTCTCGTACATATTTTAAAGACAAGACTTATTATGGCGCTCTTTCAGCCGTTTGTTAATCGGCCCTGGGTTAAAGATAAAGACATTTTCTTAATGGATTCGCAACGAAATTCGCTAGTTACCTCAGTAACCTAGGATACCTTTCACCAAGTCCCGTGGATTTGTCCATATCAAGCTTATTTGGCAGACCAAAGACACCAAGTACTCTAATGGCCACATTGTCCAGTGTGTGGGGATTTGTATAAATTGACGGGAAGGGTGTCTCTGAGGTATATACATTGCTAAAGCAGCTTGGAAATACTTCAACTTTACTATGGTCGTTCTCCCCCAATTATGGAGTATTACTGTCTCCCCGTAATACTTGAATATTTTTTCATCTTTTGTCCTTTGGTTTATACACAAGTACAAGCATTAAGGGCATTTTGTAGATTCATTAGCAGCTTTTTCTTCTTGCAACCTTCTAGACTTACGAAGGGTTGAGGCGCTAATACCTTGAGCTTCTCGTTATTGAGATTTTGTCTCATTAGTACCCAGTAGGCCAAATCTTCCCCACATTCTTCAACTCTTGCGAAGAAGGGTGCAAACCTCCCTACTGAACCATCGTGGAGAGTTTCTCGGACACCTTGGTGTAGTCCAAAGGATGTGGGGTGAGGTAACTTTTAAGCATAAATTTCGAAAAACATTCCAATCAGTTTCAGCTGAAGACTCTGGCTCTATTATTCAATCTACTGAGGATGTTGAATGCATAATATCTTTTACATTTGCTTTCAAGACGTTAGGTCTGGGTCGGGCTTATGCGTGCTTGTTTTTGACAACTATGTGGAAGTCAAAGTTTAGAACTGAATGATAGCTTACATCTAGGGATGGTATGCAATCGAGGTTTGGGACGCCATCCTTATAATGGATCAATATGAGATCTACTCAGGATGATTCGAAGTCCGGGTCGTAACTAGTTGCTTCTTTCACATGTTGCACTGGAGTCCATGTGATCACCGCATCAACTAGTTCATATTCGAAAGAATTTTCTAACAATTGAGTCCTCAAGTTTTTGTAGTCTACCGTAGGTGAATTAAAGTCTCTTAAGATTAAACATTGACCACTTCCTAACCAACTATTGAGACCATCTAGCAAGACGCCATCCAACTCATAGTTTGAACTGAGGCAAGTCAAACCAATCATCATCTCTTGTCTCTGCATTTCAAGCGATAACTAATTCACAAAGTTCGCTTTCATTGAATATGTTATCGACAACGGTAAATCGGAGTATTCTTAGTGAATAGAGCCACTGCATCTCCTTTGCGCTTCTGGATTCTGCCGGTTTTTAGTAATATGAAACCTTCCAAATCAAGTTTTCTACTGCCTATAGACTGCGTTATCTGACTTGTTGTGGCCATGATTACGTCAGGCTTGATAGTCTATATGTACACCTAGCCTTGATTGCCCATTGAGCAAGCTTTCGGCATTTGTGTAACAGATCCGAAGTCAACTTAAATGGTTTCGTGTTACACACAGAGTGGCTCCGGCATCATTTGCTGTCGAAGCCTCACAACCCGAACACTAACAATTTTCAGGCCCTTTTCGCCAGCATCTAGTCTAAGTTTTAGTTTTCTTTCAGCTTCTCGTCTCTTTACACGGTTTACGAGCGGCAAGTTTTTACGGACAAAAACTTCTGACCCGTTTCGTTTATGCCCAGTCTTCAGTATTAAGTCTCGTTCATTGGGAGTCCCGAGTACTACTTTAAGCAACCTGATTTGATTATGTTTCAGGTCTATTTGAATACCTACTCTATAAACCTTTAGCAAGGTGACTCCGTGGATATCCTAAAGCATTAACTGGTTCAGTAGCTGTTTTATCAATCCAATGTCGTGCCTAAAACGAGTTCCGAATTCTGAGCTTTCATTCTCCTTGACTCGATGAAAGACAACTGACCCGTCACTATGATCAGTCATTAACTTCTCAAACACTGTTGTGAAATTGGTTTTTCTTTAGCAATATCAGTTAGCCTCTTATTTTTCATCTATGCCCATCTATTGACTTTCATTAGAGTAGCAATAATAGTAACGTTGCACATATTGTGGGGCCCTGGATGATTGTTCATGACCTGGGTTGTCGGTTTCCTATTTTTCCTTCCAGAAATAGAACTAGCCCAGCAATTATGTTTTCCAAGTGTTTCCTACTCGCTACCATTTGGAAGGTTGGTGACAGAGGAAACTTCCTTTTTTGAGCTTTTATTACTAACAAACCTCATTATAGGCCGTTCTTCCCTCGCTGGCCTATGTAAGTAGTTGCGTCTAAGGACTTCCAAACAATTCATTTCGGCTGGGAAGAGAATAATATATTTAATGTGAGAGAAAGACACTACTTTTAGTTCTATCTGTTGATAAAGGAAACCACATAGCTCTATCATTCAAATTTATCTAACATCTTATCGCCAGATGTAGTTTCTTTGAAAAACAACATTTTTTCACAACAGTAGATGGCACAGTTGAAAGAAGCGAATATTTTCGAATGCTTGCATCAATTTCGGGTCAAGCTATAGTAATAATTACTAAGCGTTTCCAGTGGAACCAGTCGCTGGTATAAACGTTGAGGACAATACCTGCCACATCACCAAACGTGTCCGCGTTTACACAAATTGAAAGCTTATTTAGCAGTGGATAATATGGATTGTCCTAAGTGTTTGGATTTTGGATGCTAGGCAACTGCATTCAGCCTGAGTTTCTATAATTTTTCTTGATCAGTTGATCAAGTTGTAGGGTTAAAATATCTTTACGTTCCAAAGACTTTCACTGGCAAGCGTCGTAAAATATCTTCGAAGTGGGAGATATGTAGGGTGTAACGACCGAACAGCCAATATTCGGTTGGAACAACGGACTGACGAACCCAAAATTTATTCGATTAGACCAGACCAAGTTCCTCTGTATAGCTCACAACGCGTCTTTGAGATACTCGTATTATATTATATCAAAACACAAACTCTGTGCTCAATATAAACGGTTCTAATTAAGAAAACAGAACAAATTACATCAAAAATACAAAATACCTCAAACGGTACAGCCTGTGCTATACAGTCAGAAGTTTCTCTAACGCAAAGTAGCGCGCTAAACAATGAAAGAGACAGTTAATACTAAAGGGTTTGATACCTGAGAATCAATACAAATATTCCCAATAAGATGGGATCAAATATCTATCTGCAGGGATTGCAGCAATTCTCCCAAGCAGACAGTCAGAGGGTTAACAGTCACAAAATGAACCACGCCGTGACCTTGAGCTTAGTCAAACACAACCTTACTGTCAATGGTCCGGCAACATGCAATAGAAAATTAGGTAACAAAATAAGTCTTTAATCAAAATCACATAATAAAGGCTCAAACGGGGAAGACTGAAGAACAAAAGACATGGTTAAACGAGGTCGAAACAAAGGTTGGAATACACAAAAGAGAGAAGGAACAAATAAATGAAAATACTGTTCAACAAAGAAGCTGCAGAGGGATTTTCACTGTTCTTTTTCCGTTACACCGGCCCCCAAAATCCCTCCAGCTACGCAAAGACACCTTAGAATACATTTCTGTCATGGCTCTCCTTACTAACTGCTCTATATCAATGGGAGGCACAGGACTTACAACAGTACGCCTGTACATCCATAAACCTAAGCTACAATCCACAATTACTCGGCTCCCTCTAGAAGGCAGAGCTTTCGCACATCTCTTCTTACTACACCTCTCATTCGCACCATCACTGTCTCTTAGTAATAACAAAGTGTTTGGCGTGAGCACCAAATCATCCTTTTCATCTGACGTCGCAGGAACGATTGGGCGGTTGTTTAAAATTCGTTCTACCTCCACAAAATAAGTTGCCAAACTATCATCGTGTAATATTTGCCCGTTGGAAATAAATAGTAAGATCCCCCGAACAGACCGTATTAACCTCTCCCAAACTCCGCCCCGATGGCTAGTTAGTGGGGGGTTGAAATGCCAGCGTATACCCTTCGATACTGTTAAGTCGTTTATTCTATGCTTGTTCCACACACTCATATTAGCCCGTAATTCGGAAGTGGCCCCGACAAAGTTAGTTCCATTGTCGCTATAGATTTCATTAGGAGTTCCTCTCCTTCCTATGAAACGTATTAAAGCCATTATAAAAGCATCAGTACTCAAATTGAAAGCTACTTCCAAATGTACGGCACGTGTTTGGAGACACGTGAATAGGCATCCATATCTTTTTTCCTCACTTCTTCTCCGACGCACTATCAACGGCCCAAAATAGTCTATCCCGACGGAGGAGAAGCAAAACCAGCCTTGCTGCACTCGACACTTGGGGAGAGGTGCCATCATCTGTTGGCCTAATGTGGCCTTCGCGCGTATACACCTCACACATCTACCTATCACTCGTTTAACTGCACTGGTTCCTTTAACAATCCAATAATTTCGTGGTATGGTAGCTAACACTTGTGATGTCCCGGTGTGACCTTCTAGGTGATGATGGTGTCTAATAATAAGTTCTGTTACGAAGTGATGACTGGGTGAAATTGCCGGATGTCTGATTGAGAGTGGATAATCCGAGTAATTTAATCGTCCGCCGACACAAAGCAATCCATCGATTAGCGTAGGTGAAAGATTTTTTAGCTCTTTTATAACAGTTGCGCTTACGCCACTATATCGAGACACTTTAACTGCTTCCCCATACACTCCCTTTTGCACTAAGGCTAATACCTTGTGTTTAGCTGCATCCAATTCATCAACTGACAGATAGCCCACACTTAGGGACCTGTCATCGTGATGGGAGTACATGATGGTTACATAGATCACGTATCTTCTGAGCCATGCTACCGCTTTAATCAGCTTTATCCAATTTGAGTGATATAGCAGAATTGGACTTGAGCTATGTTTTAGCGCAACTGCGTTGGTCGTGTGGCATCTTTTAAATTCAACATTTTCCGGGGGGTTTTCGCACATAAGCGTCAGTGTTCCTACAGACTCTTTCTTCCATAAGAAGGAAGGACCCTCAATCCAGTTCTTTAAATCTAGCTCCTTCCGTATGCCTCGTGATGTCCAGTCAGCAGGATTTTCATGGGATTCTACGTGCCCCCACTGGTCCACAGATGTTAAATGACGAATAGCGGCCAGACGATTAGCCACGAAGGTGGAATACCTACTATCTGTATTTTTTATATAGTACAGTGCTATCATAGAATCCATCGAGAAGTGAGTCTTGTCAAACACATGAGGAAGGTTCTTATTTAAAACTTCCCCCATTCTAGCACTCAATACTGCCGCTGTTAGTTCCAGTCTAGGCACAGTTGCCTGTTTTATAGGTGCCACTCTAGACTTACTATAGAGTAAAACGATGTCCGGTGGTTTGCGCCTGAGTATGTTCCACGAATAGACAGAGGAACTGCAACCTGTCTTAGTCAGGATCTTCATCCTAAAGTCGGCAAGAACTCTACCAGCAAAGTCCAATCGCAAAACAGTATAAGGCAACGCATAATCTTCATAAATCGGAACTGTGTGGGTCACACCGTCACCTAAGTTCAACACTATACCAGTTGTACATAGTGTACATAGTGACAACACCGTTTGAGTAGCAGCACACGTACCTGGTGTATTAAAACTCTCAAACATGATCCTTGTCATCTTATGGTTTGCCTTCGGGTTCAATGAAACTGCTCTCAACAACCCCGGATGTTTCTCTGTTACCACTCGCAACCCTTTGTAGAATGTGTGGTACCACATCTTCTCCATATCACCCCACTTAGTCGCAATACCATGTTCAATTCGGTACTTCAGTGTCAGGATAACACGTTTCGGTCGAGCATCGTCTCCCACATGACTGTCCTTTCCATCCATTTCCACAGTCACTTGATGTCTAGTTCTTCCAACAATAGAGAGCAATACGGCTATGGGAGCATCATTTTTGGTGAAGCCAGCTTTACACATACCAGACTCATTGCCAATAACAGGGGTAGCAATGTCTTCCTCAGCCACTCCTCTAGGTAAAGGAACAATATTATAACTTTCATCGAAGTAGGCATCGTGCTCTACTGTTGGAAGTTCATGACCTACACTTAGAGATTCCAAGGTCACTTTCTCCTTCGTTCCTGGATAATCTAACCGTTTTGACTTTTCTAGAGACTTTATCCTAAGGTCATGAGGAGGACTTACGAACCTGTGAACGTGCTCCTTTTCTCTGTCATCACAGTTAGAAACAGAAGATAATTTGCTACACGTGCTTTTGTTCAGCCTTAACGACCCAAACTCTCTCTGAAAGCACAGTAGTTGTTTCCTCTGTCTATCTTTCAAGTCCCTCATTTCTAATAATTGCCTTTCTTTTAACTCTGCTAAGGTAATCCTAGAGCTAACTTTACTACGTTTACTTAATAAACTAACATTAGAGCCATGACATGAAAATGCATCTAATTTGACTTGCCGTACATCTGGAGGTGTATCCGATTGCATTTCTCCGTGGCCCAATGCCAAGTTTTCGTTGACCTTATTGTGCTTTCCAGGCATACCAGAGTTTGTCACTTGAGATTACTGTTCGTTTGAGAACTGTAACGACCGAACAGCCAATATTCGGTTGGAACAACGGACTGACGAACCCAAAATTTATTCGATTAGACCAGACCAAGTTCCTCTGTATAGCTCACAACGCGTCTTTGAGATACTCGTATTATATTATATCAAAACACAAACTCTGTGCTCAATATAAACGGTTCTAATTAAGAAAACAGAACAAATTACATCAAAAATACAAAATACCTCAAACGGTACAGCCTGTGCTATACAGTCAGAAGTTTCTCTAACGCAAAGTAGCGCGCTAAACAATGAAAGAGACAGTTAATACTAAAGGGTTTGATACCTGAGAATCAATACAAATATTCCCAATAAGATGGGATCAAATATCTATCTGCAGGGATTGCAGCAATTCTCCCAAGCAGACAGTCAGAAGGTTAACAGTCACAAAATGAACCACGCCGTGACCTTGAGCTTAGTCAAACACAACCTTACTGTCAATGGTCCGGCAACATGCAATAGAAAATTAGGTAACAAAAATAAGTCTTTAATCAAAATCACATAATAAAGGCTCAAACGGGGAAGACTGAAGAACAAAAGACATGGTTAAACGAGGTCGAAACAAAGGTTGGAATACACAAAAGAGAGAAGGAACAAATAAATGAAAATACTGTTCAACAAAGAAGCTGCAGAGGGATTTTCACTGTTCTTTTTCCGTTACATAGGGTTTATTAAATAATTATGTCCCGATCTCGGATATACGTCTCACGAGGTTCTTTTGAGTAATTTTAATCAGGATGCACTTCAAGAGTAGTGTTTCCGACACTGTTCACATGTGTTACTCAAACTTAAGTGAGTAATTAAGTGGTGAGAGATTCCCCACATTTTTGGCACCAAAAAACGTAGCGCAGAGTATCAGTTAATTTAAACCTCAAGAACCTATGATATGGGTCAGAATTGCAAGGTTTGATATCAGGGGGTTTGAGTATAAGACATTTTCTCACAATATTTTTAGATCTTTCACCTCAAAAGTTGTAGGACAGGTCTAAACTGTTTTCCAGGCTAATGATAAAAGGATCCCCACAAGCCTTTGTTCTTTATCCCATGTTTTTAAACTCTATTAAGGTTGTGGTGGGTCCCAGCAGAAGAGCTTATTCAAAATATAACAGTAGGCAAGTTTATCAATAATATACCAAAAGAGCTTGATGATGTCACAGGTATTCAGTGTTTGACAACGCTTATACCAGTAACACCTTCTAATATATTTCGTTCCCGCCCAGAGAAATCAAAAGACAGAGTCGAGGAGATCGGAAGAGTATATTTGGCGATGACCAATATATCGGAATTCTCTGATTTAATCTGGCTAGCGATTGCGGTTGATGTTGAGCACGGCGTTACCACACGTGATCTGGTGCGGATGCCTGACCGAGCGCCTTCAGTTAGATGAGTCCACTAAAACATATGGTCAGCATCCAATGTCGAAAACTTACAGAGCTATTTATTTTGGGGATTTATTTACCGCTACAGATCACTCCCCCCTAGTGAGGCAGTGACGACCCTAAGACGTGGCTAGCCAGAAGTTTAAACCCAACGAGTTTGTCGTTGGTAAACACTCTTCTGATAGCTTACTAAATTTAGCAGCGTCTGGTCGTCTTTCCTTACTATATGGGACGGAGGTACAACATAGTAAAAAAAGAAAATGTACAATGAAAATTTCGGATCCTCATAAACGTCATCGTTCTTTTTCCAGCCGTCCTGGAAAAGAAAAAAGAAAATGTAAGTGCATGTCAAAAATACACTCGTATGTGCGTAAAAACACAATGTCGGCGGAAAAAAAATGGAAAATAAACTGATGAACACGTAATAGCGTTAAAAAATTGTTTTTTTGTTTGTTTTTTTAAATAGAAATAAGAATATATAAGCATATTAAAATTGTTTTTTTTTTAAAAAAAATAATATAAAAAGTCGAGAAGTGCCTTACGTGCAATAGTCGTTTAAATGTTCTGGAAATCTCACCCTTCTTCCAGAACGCGTCGTTTTAAGTTTATTTTCAGATACTGTCGAAGTATCATCGTGTGTGTTGGTTGTCGGATGAGGTATTATAAGTGTCGGAGTCGTGTCGTTCGATTGTACCGAAGTAAAATCCACGTAGATAGGATTTCCTTCTAAATACGCTGCTTTTAAGCGATCGATGCTGATGCTATCGTTGGTTCCGTTCTTATCGACTATATAGTACTTGGATTCACGTTGAAGAACTTTGAAGGGTCCTTCGTATGCTGATTCGAATGGGCGTCATCATCATTTGCTGTCGAAGCCTCACAACCCGAACATTAACAATTTTCAGGCCCTTTTCGCCAGCATCTAGTCTAAGTTTTAGTTTTCTTTCAGCTTCTCGTCTCTTTACACGGTTTACGAGCGGCAAGTTTTTACGGACAAAAACTTCTGACCCGTTTCGTTTATGCCCAGTCTTCAGTATTAAGTCTCGTTCATTGGGAGTCCCGAGTACTACTTTAAGCAACCTGATTTGATTATGTTTCAGGTCTATTTGAATACCTACTCTATAAACCTTTAGCAAGGTGACTCCGTAGATATCCTAAAGCATTAACTGGTTCAGTAGCTGTTTTATCAATCCAATGTCGTGCCTAAAACGAGTTCCGAATTCTGAGCTTTCATTCTCCTTGACTCGATGAAAGACAACTGACCCGTCACTATGATCAGTCATTAACTTCTCAAACACTGTTGTGAAATTGGTTTTTCTTTAGCAATATCAGTTAGCCTCTTATTTTTCATCTATGCCCATCTATTGACTTTCATTAGAGTAGCAATAATAGTAACGTTGCACATATTGTGGGGCCCTGGATGATTGTTCATGACCTGGGTTGTCGGTTTCCTATTTTTCCTTCCAGAAATAGAACTAGCCCAGCAATTATGTTTTCCAAGTGTTTCCTACTCGCTACCATTTGGAAGGTTGGTGACAGAGGAAACTTCCTTTTTTGAGCTTTTATTACTAACAAACCTCATTATAGGCCGTTCTTCCCTCGCTGGCCTATGTAAGTAGTTGCGTCTAAGGACTTCCAAACAATTCATTTCGGCTGGGAAGAGAATAATATATTTAATGTGAGAGAAAGACACTACTTTTAGTTCTATCTGTTGATAAAGGAAACCACATAGCTCTATCATTCAAATTTATCTAACATCTTATCGCCAGATGTAGTTTCTTTGAAAAACAACATTTTTTCACAACAGTAGATGGCACAGTTGAAAGAAGCGAATATTTTCGAATGCTTGCATCAATTTCGGGTCAAGCTATAGTAATAATTACTAAGCGTTTCCAGTGGAACCAGTCGCTGGTATAAACGTTGAGGACAATACCTGCCACATCACCAAACGTGTCCGCGTTTACACAAATTGAAAGCTTATTTAGCAGTGGATAATATGGATTGTCCTAAGTGTTTGGATTTTGGATGCTAGGCAACTGCATTCAGCCTGAGTTTCTATAATTTTTCTTGATCAGTTGATCAAGTTGTAGGGTTAAAATATCTTTACGTTCCAAAGACTTTCACTGGCAAGCGTCGTAAAATATCTTCGAAGTGGGAGATATGTAGGGTTTATTAAATAATTATGTCCCGATCTCGGATATACGTCTCACGAGGTTCTTTTGAGTAATTTTAATCAGGATGCACTTCAAGAGTAGTGTTTCCGACACTGTTCACATGTGTTACTCAAACTTAAGTGAGTAATTAAGTGGTGAGAGATTCCCCACATTTTTGGCACCAAAAAACGTAGCGCAGAGTATCAGTTAATTTAAACCTCAAGAACCTATGATATGGGTCAGAATTGCAAGGTTTGATATCAGGGGGTTTGAGTATAAGACATTTTCTCACAATATTTTTAGATCTTTCACCTCAAAAGTTGTAGGACAGGTCTAAACTGTTTTCCAGGCTAATGATAAAAGGATCCCCACAAGCCTTTGTTCTTTATCCCATGTTTTTAAACTCTATTAAGGTTGTGGTGGGTCCCAGCAGAAGAGCTTATTCAAAATATAACAGTAGGCAAGTTTATCAATAATATACCAAAAGAGCTTGATGATGTCACAGGTATTCAGTGTTTGACAACGCTTATACCAGTAACACCTTCTAATATATTTCGTTCCCGCCCAGAGAAATCAAAAGACAGAGTCGAGGAGATCGGAAGAGTATATTTGGCGATGACCAATATATCGGAATTCTCTGATTTAATCTGGCTAGCGATTGCGGTTGATGTTGAGCACGGCGTTACCACACGTGATCTGGTGCGGATGCCTGACCGAGCGCCTTCAGTTAGATGAGTCCACTAAAACATATGGTCAGCATCCAATGTCGAAAACTTACAGAGCTATTTATTTTGGGGATTTATTTACCGCTACAGATCACTCCCCCCTAGTGAGGCAGTGACGACCCTAAGACGTGGCTAGCCAGAAGTTTAAACCCAACGAGTTTGTCGTTGGTAAACACTCTTCTGATAGCTTACTAAATTTAGCAGCGTCTGGTCGTCTTTCCTTACTATATGGGACGGAGGTACAACATAGTAAAAAAAGAAAATGTACAATGAAAATTTCGGATCCTCATAAACGTCATCGTTCTTTTTCCAGCCGTCCTGGAAAAGAAAAAAGAAAATGTAAGTGCATGTCAAAAATACACTCGTATGTGCGTAAAAACACAATGTCGGCGGAAAAAAAATGGAAAATAAACTGATGAACACGTAATAGCGTTAAAAAATTGTTTTTTTGTTTGTTTTTTTAAATAGAAATAAGAATATATAAGCATATTAAAATTGTTTTTTTTTTAAAAAAAAATAATATAAAAAGTCGAGAAGTGCC